CGGTTATACCGGCTATACAGATACAGAAGCTGGTGTGTTACGCCAAAGGGCGGTTATACCGGCTATACAGATACAGAAGCTGGTGTGTTACAACGAAGGGCGGTTATACCGGCTATACAGATACAGAAGCTGGTGTGTTACGCTGAAGGGCGGTTATACCGGCTATACAGATAGGGGGGGGGGGGGGCTTGGGCTAGCTTCCCTTGGATTGGAACTGTGGGGGAGTGGTGTTTCATATTTAATATGCACCGGACTATCAGCTTCTATTCTAGCATTTACTACAATGAACTTCAAAAGCAAATTTATTACTTATGACAATCCCTGCATGCTATACATGGGAATGTATAATTAAAGACTGTATAGATATTAGAACCTCCTTCAATGAGTGTAAAACCTATCCCATACTAGTCACCCACTCTTGTATCAGTTAGGCTAGCCTTGTGAAAATGTAGTTAATATGTACTAGTAGATGTCATACTTTGTACCCTGTACAACTTTTGTGCAATAAAGGTACCATATCTATCTGTAACTTAATCGAGTATTACACTACTTCCTGAATTCCCCCGCCCATTGCTCAATTACCCAGTGCAAGCTGAATCACCACCTTGACCTTTATAATCAAATGTCAAAATCATCTCTTAGACTATTCCACACTACCAAGACCATTGACTCTCAGCTTCATTTCATATTTATAGAGTTTGCTCTAAAGAGCTCATTTATATTGATATGACTACGAGCTGTCATTGAAACACATTCTCAAGTCAGCCACCATGTTAGCCACTCATGTGAAAAATGAATATCTGTAAAACGATTTGTTCGGGGCTTAATTGATGTCACAATACGGCAGTAAACGCTATAGGGTCTATCAACTGTGGTGTTATAAGGTTGGTTTAACAGCTGAACGCTTGTCGTGGGCAATCGCAAAATGGTTTATCTGCATGCAATAGACATTTTCCACTATTGTAGAGTTGAACTCGATGCCACCAAGTACGTACACAGTAGGAGCATTATCATGAGATAGCTTTAAAGGCTAGGTGTAACAAGTCGTTCGGTGTAATATACTAGTAGCTAGCTGCCGCCGCGCCGCGTACCTGCGAAGCTGATGTGTTACGCCAAGGGGTGGTTATACCGGCTACACAGACATTGCTACAAATTATGTGAATAATACTGTCCATTTTACTTTACAAATATCATATCCTCCTAGTCACCCACATTTGTTCCAATTCATACATGACCATAATCTTATACATCTAGCCTGTCACCGCTAGTAGGTCCATATGATCTCAATGTTCAACTCCATAACCTGGAATTCATTCAAAGGGTAGGGTATGACGTAAACGTTCTATAAACGACGTCTGGTTTAATCCTTCTAGCAGTGGATACAGAGCATGGGTTCACCGGTCTATCCTTCATCCTGTCCCATCGCCTTATTGTTAATGTATACTAATGCCCTGGTTTCCAATGTGGTCGAAGATTTGATTACGACGACCTTGGTCCAATGAATTCGAAGCTATGCGCTTTTATCGTAACAGTCGTTAGGATAAAGCTACATGACAGACACACAGGCATGGGAAGATTTGATTTAGATCACCGCAATTCAGCGAGGCTACGACAGTCACTTAAGGTTGTCATTTGGGGTACGAAAATGAATTCTACCGTTACCCTGAAGCGCATTGTCAGCCTTTTAAGTTCTGTTTATATCTGCATATAGTATTTTGCACTTCCGTTTTATTAAACCCATTTTCTTTTAGTACTATGGTCTCATACAAAAATAAGCTATCTATTATGTTGCTGAGTTTGGAAAAAGGAAGAAAACTTCAAAGCTAAAATGCAGGACATTAGTAACTTAAATCCCTAACACGTTTCGTTTCAGCATTCTCCATTTTGCCCTCAGCAAACTAACAGGAGGATTTAGACCCAATTTTCCATCGGCGTCGGACGTTTTTGAGCCCGCCCACTGCAACCTTGGGGGATGCGCCCAGAAGACTCGAAGTTACTTTTTTGGCGGGACTTCCCAGTGAAAGCAATTTCCTTTCATTAGTTAGGTCTATGTTTCTATCCTGCGGGTCTGTACTGTAGGAGATTGCCTGTCGCGACGCATCGTCTCCGGCGTTCGGTTCCTCGCACGGTATCCCCTTAAGTCTATCCGGTTATATTACATACATAACGTATACTGTATTACGTAAGGTATGGACAATACTTGTATTCACAATTTTGAAATTCCTAGAGCTGTTACAAAATTAAAGATAAGAATTTGTAGCCGCCAATTGAAGGTTGATATAGAAAGGTATCCGTTTTCAAAAATGTTGGTCGATAGAAATGTATAAAACATAAAGAGTACGTTTCTTCATACAGTCGTTTTAGTCATCCTATGATGTAATTCATTAAAGAAAACTATATCGACGTCCAAGAAGTTCGGCATTTCTGCTGTCTTGTTTTTGCATTGTAGCTGACGAAGATCCTTTTCGCCATCTCTGTCCAAAGAGGCTCCCACTAAAATCCCTTTCGTTTCGATTCCTAAACTCCCTGGCTAGACGTTTTGCCCTGGAGTGGGAAAAGCACTTAACACGACTTTCCTCACTCCACCTAGGTGTAAATGGGTACCTGATATATAGATTAACGGGAGGCCGACTATTCTATACGCGGATGCAAGACTGGCTAAAGGCTCTTACCGTACCCAGAACCGAACCTATGTTGTTCTATGCCTGAATGTGCTTGTTAGGATCAGATACGGTTCTGGATAGTCTCCGAGTACAAATGTATATAAGAATTCAATGAAGATTTGCCGTGGGCATAATTCTGGATACGTGTGCATGTAAACTATTCAAAGGCGTGACTGGTCATGGTACTAAATAAAGCATGTCGGTGAAGGTTAGACATCCAGGTAATAAAATACGCCAAAAACTCAAGCAACTGGATTTGATTTTAGAAACGGTCAGACGTTTCAGATAACATCCACTACCTTTCGTCAGTGACGCTAGAGAACTTGTGCAGAAAGGCAGACTTATAAGCAAGAACTATTGAACTATTGAAATAAAGCACGGTTCTGAATACAGCAGATCTCTTGTTATTACCACTGGCATAAAGGACAGACGGCAATTAGTTAAGTGAATCAATCTCCTTGATTGATGGAGCCACGAAGCCAGCGCTAACGTAGACTAAGAGACCAGAATGACATTTTGACGCACAATGTAATTACATAAAGAGCTGTAATACTGTTAATGGTTTTTGCGGTCACCTCTTCGTATCTTCGTAGTGATTGAACAGGACATTTAGCGAAACCTAAGCGAAACTCTTAATTCGAAAGAGGCAGTGACATGAAATAAACGCCAAGAAAGGAAATTTAATATTCGATGTGCTAAGTAAACTTGAACCTAATTTTATCAATACTATCCCTGTTTGCGATTGTCTGTGCTTTATGTGTTTTGCATACGCTTTAGATTATTCCTGTGTTTCTCTTAATTGAAGCTTATTATGTTTTAGGCAGAGGCTTAGAAAAAGGCTTGGTCCCCCTTTCCAGTTATGTGACAAAACAGAATTAAATGAATTACTAATAATGGATTCTTAAACCTGCAGTCTCATCGTCCAAATAGTCGGACGCACGAAGGATATTTATACTTTGCGTCCCGTGGGTTTCTTAACTTATAATAAGGGCTTGACCTCGTGTTTTAACTACTCATCTTGTATGTTTGCCAACTTAATAAAGATGATTCCAACTCTCTAGTTCCTGCCGCTACTTCTTTCCACACGCATCTGGTCGCCTGTATTTTCAACCCGGTCCGAATATATATGAATATATCAGTAAAGATAAATGAATTTGCCTCATGTTGGCTTTGGATGTATCAAATGCAAATCGCAGTATATATAGACTTCAAACCTGACGGCATAGCAAACCTCGACGTCTCTGAGCTCATATCTCAAAACTCGCCTGCCCTTTATGTTTCGCCTACGGTCGAGTATTACCTACCTAATGATGCGATAAAACGATGGCAGGCCTATGGCTGACATTCAAGACGCATGATAAGGATTTGAGTGCAGAGAATCTTTTTACACAACCAAGTCTTTTATTCAGCCGACGTTTCTGTGACCGTCTGTCGCCTTCCTCAGGGCAATTCTGACTGGTTCACATTGCATGGCTGCACAGGTATCATTGTTATAGTGCAATGTGAACCAGTCAGAATTGCCCTGAGGAAGGTGACAGACGGTCACCGAAACGTCGGCTGAATAAAAGACTTGGTTGTGTAAAAAGAGTCTCTTTACTCAGTAACTTACCATCCTGATGAAATTATTCACGATGCCTGCCCTTTATGTTTCGACGGCAGTAGAGTATTACCTATCTAATGATGCGATAAAACGATGGCAGGCCTACGGCTGACATTTATAAGATGCATGAGAAGAATTTATATCTGGTAATGATGATCAACTGTGGTACTTTGACACATATGAATATCTTCGATATACCGGGCATAGCCAATAGTCAATTTGCCTTAAAATAGCCTCTG